TATTTTCTCGCTCATCTTAAAAATATTAAAATTTCCGATCATTATATAGCGCGGAATTTACGTCGTTATTTACTTCACACTGATCTGCATATCAAGGATCAACATTTTTCTCAAACATTTGGATAAGCGGACAATTTAGTATCTGACGCGCAGTTATTATTCCAATGACGTAGGCGATTTGGAACTTTATATGCCGATTGCTTATATTATAAATGAGAAGAATGGATTTCTCATTCAAACATTACTCATATTCGAAGCCATTATATAGTTACGGGAGAAAAGTAATATTTACATTTTTCTAGCATCATTCATATCCTGGCACAACAATCTTGTGCAATTCGACAAATTTGAATGCACTTAATTCAATTTTATCATTACGACTAAATTGCATCTATATACGATATCTATTAATTAAAATTAACTACATATACAATATTTATAATCTTTAATCTTTAATTAAGAATCCAAGTTTAATCCTCTAAATATTCGAAAATATTTATTTAGTCACATAATAAATTAAAAAATTGCTTGCATTTTCCATCTTTTTTCAAAGCAATTGTCTAAAAGGAAATATATTGTTATATTTGCTTGTGTGCTTTATTCAATAATTAATACAATTGAAAACGATGCATATGTTTTTTCTTTATTTAACATACATATAAAAAATGATCATTTTGAGATATAAATCATGTTTTGAAAATAATTAGATGTAAAAATTATATAAGCAAATCTTTCGCAATTTTTCTTTTTGTAGAAAAAATACTTTGTAATATTATTTTTCTTTTTTGTAACATAATTTTAGAAAAAATCTGACGTATCTTTTCTTATTCATTGTGCATATAAAAATACATTCTTTTAAAAATATATTTACCGTATATATATTATGTGTTTAATCCTTTTATTATGGATTTTACTATTGGGTTTTGGTGTTTTTCTGCATATTCATTTAAGAATAATAAATATATATTGGTTTGATTATTGAGAAAACATAAATCACAAAATATAAAATTACATGCAGTTCTAAATCTATTGCATTCTCTCACTGAGGATCACAGTAAAATCTATCTCAAAACATTCTTTTTGCCAATTTACATTTTCCGTAAGAAATGATCTTCTTAAAAGTTCATATTAATGATTTTGTCGTAGTCGAGTCATTCATACAAATCTAACAACGATGACAACAAAACTACGTTAAAAGCAAGATTTCGCTTATTCACGGGATTATCACTGTTAACGGGAATTACAGCTGTTTGCCGATAATCCGCTGCGAAATTTATTACGCTCGATGGTTTTAAATGGGTTGGGAAAAACCCAGTTCAACAGCGTTTCCATAAGCCCGTATAGCATCAACAGCTTTTAATCTCTACCTACTTGGCACAGTCAATCTCGTCATAGCCAACCGAGAGAAGAAGTAAATATTTCATTCCAGTTACATTTTGCGAGAATAGAGAATTGTAAAAACACTCGTGCGATTTTAGAGATGCGCAAACACGACCGTATAGGTAATTCGCAAAAAAGGTAGCCTTGTCTAATCATTTCAAAGGTTACTTGACCGGCATTTAGAATAATTTAAAATATGACTGAAGATACGTTTCTTTTTCAGACTTAATGATAATATAAATACTAATGTATAAATAATAATATAAATATAATTTACATCATAATCAAATATGAAGGATTCATGAGAAGAACATGTTAAATCCATTATTCATCTTTTCAAGATAACACTGCGATATTCTAGCTCTGATAAAGGATAATAGTTTTAGATTATTCTATCATAAAGAGAAGAACCTGCTAAGATCGAAGGAGAAAGTGATGAAAAAATGTGTGTGCAGAGAAAGAACATGTTCAGTTACACCAATACAGGGAAACCATTCTTGATTTTTTCAAAATACATATCAAGTTTCTAAATAAAAAATATACATATATCAGATATAGAGTTATATTACTGTGATGAAGATTATTTTAAGTACCTCTAGAATAATATAATATTATTATCAAAACTCACTTAAAAAAGGTATGCAAACTTTAAAAATGCTTTACTGTAAAATAAACACAAAATGACTTTTTTTAACACGTTCTTCCTAAACTTTCTATATTAATATAGATGTTTCTTTATATATTATGTATTATATGTTCATAATAGTATATACAATACACATTAAAAAGTTCCGACTGACAACGTGTCGGGTTCGGACGTGTTTTTGCGTGCTGCGTATGTCCTTTGTCTGGACCTTTTTTTTGGACTCCCTCCTCTCTTGTTGAGAGGAGTTTTGCTTGTATTTTACAAACCCATAAGAAACAATGGTGTATGGGCGACTAATGCCCAATCAGCCATAAAAGAAAGAAGAAGAAGAAGAATATACAATACACACAGGGTGTTCATTTGAAAACTTTCCATCCTGTTTATTTTGTGATCGATTAATTTTTGCGAGAAATGTTTCGTACAAAAGTTTTATGACTTTTGAAGGAGACATAAGATGGTGCCATTGGTTTGACCTTGGATAGTCGTTTAAAGATCAAGTGAAGGTCATCTTCAATTCCTTAATTGAATCACCATTTTTCATTACATATTATAGTAGCTTACTTCGAGAGCTTTTCAAAACACTATAATAAAGTTCTTTTCCATTAAGTATTTTCCGAGTTATGAGGCTTGAAAGATATAGTACCGCCAGTATTAGTATTATCCGAAAGTGATTTTTACGTGACCTTAACAATATAATTTAAAGCATGGCACCTTCTCGAAGTCATAAAATTTTTGTACAAAATATTTTTCGCAAAGATTAATCGATTACAAAATAAACAGGGTGGAAAGTTTTCAAATGAATACCCTGTATACATATACGCGCGCGCGCATACATATATGTATACATATACACATATATATACATATATATGTATGCGTGCATGCATGTGTGTTTGTGTGTGTTATGTGTGCATGCATGTTCTGTATTATAATCAAATAAATTTTTTAATACATGAGTTATAAAAAAACAATTATGTTGTTATATAAACGGCCAAGCGCATGTTTAATTTTTTTAATTTATTTTTGCTTGTCTTTCAAATATTAACGAGTCGATAAAGAGACAGCGCATAATACTAAAAATGCACAGTTATATTTGAAAAAAACGATGATTTCCTAAGGTCTTCATAAGGTTACGGCATCGTTTTAGATAACACTTTTTAATTAATATTTCTCACTAAACGATCGTTTCTAAGTTGGATTTTTATGAGTATCATTATTTCGTAAAGCTCATAAATGTAAAATAAAAAACGTGTACTTCTTTCGAACAATATCAGTGAATTCATAACAAGCGTGGGTTTATCGACTTAATTAACAATCTTACTTATATAATCTCTCCTTAAGGAGGAACTGTATGTGTTGGGATGGATCAGCTAATGTCAAAAGTTAATCAATCTAATACTTATCAAGATTTATGAATTTTACATTAGGCACAAACAAAGCACTTTTAACTTTTAAAATATATAATTAATAACTAATTTATGAGTTAAGATTATAAATAAAGTAAAGATTTGCTTTGTAAAATATAATTTAATCTCAAAATCGTAAATAATATCTTATATCGAATTAACTTGCTTATAGTGACTGTACCACGGAACTTTTATAGTAACTGTACATAAGTTACATAAAGTTACATAAAGATTTATGAAAAATTTTGATTAGAGCAAATCTTTATTTTAACTCATAAATTAATTATTAATTTTAATTTGAAAAGGCTAAAAGTGCTTTGTTTGTGCCTAATGTGAGATTCATGACCGTAGTTCCTCCTTAAAACCACGATGAAAAACGCTGCGATAAATATAAGTGCAGACGTAATATGTTGGCGAAGTCGAGAAAGCATAAAATTCATCGGCAACGTTGAGACTTTGCAGTTTCACATACTCGCTCATTATTATAATATACATACATATACACATGTATAAGAAATCCGATATACACATAGATCATAATCACAATTTTTCGAATATATATCGGAGAAATGGCATTATTATTTGTATTTGATTATTATTAAATTAATAATTAGCGGAAAAATAGCATGTCCTACGATAAGATAAATTAAACTTTCTTAATGAAGATAATCTTTATATATTTAGTAATCTTTATATGTATATTTATATTCATACTGAAGATAGACCAAAAAACAATCCAAAACGTACATTTTAAAAAAATACATATTTATTACTAAAATATAACAATAATAAGTTTGTGTATTAATATCCGCACCTTAGCTCTTATTTACCAGTTTTTTCACTTAATATTTCATAAATTGCCATTAATTTAAATTTAAAATAAATCTTTATATAGTATTTTCTTTTAGTTATTACAATATAATAGCATTAATAATACATAGAATGTATTATTAATATTATTATTATTAATAAAAAATGTTTGCTGTTTTTCAAACAATTGCATAATTTATCATAACAAATTTTTAATTATCTATAAATAATATATGTAGAGATAATTTAATAGTTATTTTAAAATATCATACTATATCATTATATTTATATATGTTTACATATTTATGTTTGTGCAAAACTATAATTTATAAAATAGGATCGTTTTATCTTTTGAAACTTTTTATCTTTTCTTTTTTTCGTGTTTAGCATATCACATAGTAAAAATTAATTAGTCTCGTATCACATTATATTTAACCAATTCTCTCTTATTCTCGAATTTACGTGCGTGAATAAAACAAGTTCACAAAGACGAGATACAACTTTATCGCATAAGTTGTCATCGACAAATTGCAAGTTTATCTTCTGGCGAAATTTGGTTTACCCCAGACGTGCTTTCGGGGAATGCTATTCTATCGGGTGTCGAGATTTGTTACCTCAGAACTTTGGCGTCCTGCGAGATATCGCGAATTCGACGGCGGAAAGTTGTAACCTACAGATGTGGGAAGTTTCCCAACAGATGCATGACTCGTCGACTTCGTAGTGGGGATCGCAGTGTGACCGGGCGATTTATATAGGAGAAGAAATGCTTGCCACGCTAGCATTTCAAGTTCGAGCAGTGAAACTGTACGATCGTTGAGTTTTCTGATCGTAGGTTAGATATCATTAGTGAAACTACATTCTATATTTATCAAGTTTGTTAGATATATTGACACATTCGACATCATGGTAAATAGACTTTTTCAATATCTTATATTCTGTAATGGATATCTGTTAATTTAATAATTTTAACAATTTTAGGTAATATTTTAGTAAAATATTTTTATAAATAGATATTTTTAGTAGAGATTTATTCATTATTTTGATAATTAAAAACACATTATTGTTTTAATATTTGTTACTAACAATAAATATTAATTTGAAAAATTTTATTATTTTATAATATATATATAACATGTTTATTTTATTCCAATATTTATTATAATATATTTGACTAATTTGTATTATATTATATTGAA